GGAAGCCAGATTCACTTAGCAACTGTGAAAAGAAAGGTCATAAAATGAGGCAAAATTCACATAAGAAATGCCTTACTTAGCAACAAAAAATTTGGGCTCCATTACGTAAGTTGAGGACTATCTGTACATACATTTCTTCATAAACATGTCCTCATATGTCTTCATACACTGCTTTTCAGTTTGAGGAAATCATCAACTCCATCCAGCCATGACTTTTGCAGGTTTTCCCTTGTCCTCAAGCCAGTCACTCTTGCTTCACATATTGATTTTGCATTCAGGCCTTATATGTTATATATAACAATGTTATAAACTGACTGGAATCAACTTTAGAGAAATAACCTCTGTAACAAAATATCCCTCACCCTGAAACCCCACAGCCAGTCTCAATATACTGTGATTGACAGTATCAGAAACTGCTGAGACGAGCTCCAGCAAAGGTTATTGACAAGCCCAAAAAATGCTGTCTTCAAATTGTACCCTGGCTGAAACGAGTTCAGATAATCTGTTTCCTCCAGGATCCTCTGTACTGCTATTCAACCACCATCTCAGTGTTCTTAATGGAGACTGAGCTACAGTTGTTGAGGATTCCTGGATCCAGTGACAGCTTCTTGAGGAGAGGTGCACCATCATCTCATTTAAGGCTAATGGAACACTGATCTCCATGATGTCATCTTGAATATGCATTTTTACTTGCATTCAATTAGAGGATTTCTTCAACTTCGTCCAGCTGTACTCCAGCTTTCTCTTCTGTTTTAAATATGTTTTAAAGACATCTTGTCCAATTCTGTATGCTGGTTTCTAATGTAAGGGAAATACCATTGTTATTTAGAATTTGTTCACTATACCCCTTCGCTTTCACTTCACTTTCTTAGTTAAAGAAAATTAGAATAATACATTTGAGAATAACATGGCTGGTATCTTATATCTTCATTTTACACTGAGAAAAAATGACTCAGAGAAGTTCTATTTGCTGGCTGAGACATTTTATAAAGCAGCCACACAAGCCTAGAAAAAAGTATGAGTGCTGTTGTGATTTGTATCAATTCCTGTGCATTGCAAAGCCCCTGTTTTCATGGCTTGAATGTAAGAAATGAATTTGGAGAAACTGGGTAAAGGAAAGGGGGATCACAATGCGATTTATCCCTGCAGTATCAAATAATATTGAACAACAGAATTGAAAATGATGATATCTGGAATCAAAATAGGCTAAAACACTAACAATTTGAGCTATGCAGAAGACAACACTTTATTAATTGGAAACAAAGACTTAGAAGATGTATTTTATGAAAACAAAAATGGGGGAAAACAGTTGACGTTAAATATAGCATACTTAGTGATCTTAATGGTGAAAAAATGAAAAAAATGAAGGTGTTAATTTTTTTATTTTCTTGAGGGGAGAAACAAAAGGACAAACCTGGACAAGTGAAGAAGAATAAGGATATTTCTTTCTGGTGGTAATAAGTGGAGAAAGAGTGAATTAAGAAAAACACAGATTGTAAGAACTAATCAATATTGAGTCAAACAAAAACTGTTCCCTTGAAGTGATGACAACAAGCAGAAACTCACATGCTTTGGGCATGTGACATAAGCAGATGATAGACTGGAAATAACTATTACATTTGGTGTAATTGAGGAGAAGTACAAGAGAAAGGCAATGGACAAGATGGATGGCAAATACAAAGAGATTACAGTGCCATAGATGGAAGAAATATGCACCATTGTCAGAGAAAGTTTGAGGCTCTAGAGCATCAGCTATAGGAGCTTCAGATTTATGTGGTAGTTGACTCTCATCTATATTGTCAAACTGTTCTAAAATCACAGTTGTGGTAACTCCAGCTAAGATATTGTTTGCTTGATTTTTTTCCTGAAATTGAGTTATGCAAAAGAAATAAATTAATAATATAGCTGGGGTATCCTATATAGTACAGCTTTGGTCAGTGGCTGAAATTTTGCCTTATATTGACAGAAGAGTCATTTCTCAGTGTTACTCATTAACTCATATTTAGAAGAAAACTTGACAAATCTTTACTTATATCCACTAATGTACATGATCTAATTTGGCTGGGGAAGAGGGACCCTGAATGAATGTTGTATGGTGGGCATTATAAATAACCCAACAGCTGGAGAGGAGGAGCCAATGTCACGATGAGACGACGTGTGATCTCATTGCTCTGAGATCGCTGCCGATACTTTTATCGCTGAGTGGTCCAAAAGGACCAGGAGAAGTTCTTCTAGCTGGCGACAAAAGCACAGCCCCTAGGCTGATGAAGTTGGGGCGGCTCTGAAACAGAAGGATACAGAAAAAGTGTTTTCAGCTGGGGAGGATTTTTTACCGTTTTAAAAGAGTCTGCCTATAGAAAACTTGAAGTTAATTTAAATTTGAGAATAGAAGAACTAAGCGGCGGAATTAAGCTTTGAATGGTTTTGGACAGTGGGTTATCTTACTTTTTAAATGCTATTTTCATGGATGGAATTTATGCAAGCCTTTTAAAACGAATGGGTTAAGTTTTCTTCTATCTTTTTTATTATTATTTGTTGCAACCTTTGGACTAAAATTCTCCTTCATTACTGCGTGTGTTTTTCCCTTTTTCTTCCCTATTTCATTCAAGAATTTGACTTTTTTAAAACTTGGTAAACATCTCCAACTTCTTCATCATATTTTACTGTTAGATG